GTTCACTCATACATGTTACCATTTACGAATTCTCCCTATCAATGCAAGATGGACAAAGAATAGAAACTGGAAATACCACGGGGCCACCTTAAATTGAAAAGATATAGTGTGCACCACAAGACAAGTACGCTTGTAAATAAATACCGTTTATCTTTTGTATCTTTTTAATGAATATATAATGATACACTTTTCAGAAAGGGATAAGCGATCAATCAGATGGCTGCCATACAAAATATAAAGAATGGTTAAAGTTGGGCAATGGTGATTGGATTCGAACACACGTCCTCCAAAGCGCTAATTTGGTGGCCTTTACCATTTGATCACCCTATAGGCAACAGCCTGCCATCTGATGGATGATTTCCAGATCACCAGTTAGTTGGTTTTTCCGTATTAACTGCTCACCTTCCTGGACTGCTTGTGAGGAGAATCCCGGTTGCCCATCAATAAGCAACCCACGGAAACATGAGCGCATCAAATAATATGAGTTTCCACCACAGTATATTTTTACCTTTGTGATATAAAATTACTTGTCCACAGTGAAAAGGCTCTGTGAATTGTGAATGTTTAGGTAAAAGAGGAAGGGATACGCATGCGTGGTGAGTGGCCGAATCAGTTGTATGCTTTCATGGAAATTTTGCCATCATTCAATCATCAATTATTTTATGTATACGGAATACCGCTTGTCATGTTTCCATCGGTGTTATCTGTATACGAATCAGTAGGTTAGTTTAAATTCATATTCGATAGCATATATGGCCTAATGATATATATATATATATATATATATATACATCTGAATGAAAGGCCAGCAGATTACCGGATTCTCATTCCTGAGGAGCGACAAGAACCGCAAAACCAAAATCGTGTGCTTCCAGGGAATTGTTTTCGAATCCTTCATACACTACTCATTATAATATATATATACTATATATATAATATATACATACTATATATATATATTATATTTATATAATGTATATATAGTAACATCATGTAAACTCTCTCTTCGATATTGAATAAAAAACAGAATTAAGTTAATGATGAAGATATCTGTGCCCCAGTGGGAACGCATAATTTAAATTTTTCAACCACATCACTCCAGTTCACAGCGACGCCATTTGAAGAGCAGCAATCACGGGTAACTTTTATCCACGTGAGTAAAAACTTTAATTGTTTATAGCTCATTTTCATACAATCTGGAACGAAATCTCCCGCCGTATCGCGCTATTCGCGAACTACAAACCGACACTCCAATTCCAGAAAGCGAACTTCGACACTCTCTCGTTGAGATCAATATGAAACCGGTCTAGCCTGAACAACAATGCTTGTTCTCGTGATCTCAATCCCACTAAGTAAAATGCCCAGAAATCCCAATTACGCAGGGAATCTCAGACAAATGCGCACGCGCACACACCGAAAGTTCTGAATTGCTCAACATCCAGCATATACGAGCCGATGTTCGTGAATGGGTATTCTGCCGGTAATCGAACGTGCGCACGTGCGTGCATGCCTTGGTATATAACAGTGTATGGACGCACACTACGACTCACACCAATTCAACTAAACTGAAAGATTGAATCGATCAAATTGTTTCCGCTAAGAACGGGTTTGCTCTGTTCTTATTGATCCACACCGAACTCTATCCAACTCGATCATAGGAATGAACGGATGAACGACGATAGGATGCAAGTCACATACAGGCTGTTTTTCCAGTGCTCGTGTTTGCCACCACTTGGTGTGAGGCGCGGAGACCGAGCAGACCAGTCGGTATTGTTTGCTTCGTTCTGATTGGTCAGGATTGAGATGAGCGCGTTGAATGCGATTGGTCAAGAATGCGAGACTGTTTGCGCTAGTGTGTGCGTGTTCAGCGTATACACATCGCTCCGTGAACAGGCGAGTGAGAGATGTGATGCCTGCGGCGTGTTATGTGAATGTTTGTGCATGAGTATGTTCTCTTTACATTAACGGTTCCGAGTACAGTGGCAGACAAAACGGTGTGTCAACCGATATACGATTGGCTGTATGTGTGACAGAATACGCCGGGGATACCGATGGCGTTGGTGGTGGTGATGATGATAGCGGCGGCATTGGTGATAGTGGTGGTGGTGGTGTCAACGGCTATAGCATTCGTACCTGGCTGGGGTGGTCTGGAGCAAGGACTGTGGGCATGCGTATGACAGAAAGCAGGAGCTGGTACATGCATACACACACACACAGAGACACCAACATACAATGCAGCATAAGCTAATGCATACGTACACAATCCTCCAGTTCATTCAACACAAAACTGTTCTGATATGAGGTAGCTGGTTAACAAATAACAGCTACTAAACGAGTAGAAATTCATTACGTCCAACTGTGTTCTGGATTATCAATTTTCATCATCCTGTGTATACATGTGCATTTGAATTCATCTGTGCCAAAACCAATTATCCCATTTTTCCCGGATGACTCCAATCTGAAGTAATCGATCGTACCCGACAGACTATCTTAACTCAAATTCAAACATTCCACTGATCAGATAGACATCTGTTGCATATACGATTGCGTGCTCACTCTCAATGAACCCGGAAATGAATCAAAGTCTATTGAGTCCGTTCAATACAAACCCAACTAACAATACACCATCTGTGCATGGAATCGATCGGTTGATGGTACGCATGAACGAGATGGACGGGCATTTCCCGGATCCCAGTTCGACAAGATATGTTTTTGGCAAATCGACTGAATCCGGTCATGGATATACGGAACAGACACCGTTATCTCTGTTAAAAAATGCCTGCTCCTTTGCACCGGATTATTCCCCTCTATCCGCACTCACATCTGTATTGGCCTGTCAACCAGATCCTGGAGGAAAACGCCCCAATACCACAGGACGCAGCAACAAACGAACTTCGACCGGTCAGAAGCATCGATCGCGTCAGCATAACAAGAGCTCCACTCCAATCGCAACCAGGTCCCTTCTGATGGACGATCGTCGCGAGATGTCTGATAGTAATTCAGTACCCTTGGATTGGACTGATGTACTGGCTCCGTCAGATATGACCACTGTGGATTGTGCTTCGGAAAGACGACTGGATTTTGGAACAGATTACTTGAAAAATGCCATTCTGGCTTTGTCACACAGCGAGTTTCAACAGCAGCAGCAGCAACAACAACAACAGCAACAAATGCAGCAGCAGCAACAACAACAACGGTCGTCATTAGAGGGATCGTCATCCACTCCTGGCGGTTCGGCTTTTTCCGAAGTGCCTAACTACACGACCAACATGTACGAATCCTATCGGAACTCTTACGAGGACAATCCTTCACTTGGAACATTCCCGCCGTCTGCGGACTACGGATTGAATACCACACAGAATGCGTTTCCATTACCATCAGGTTCTGGCATGCAATATGACTATACATGCACAGAACAAGCGCTTCAGTCCTCCTCCTCGGTGGGTCACCTAACCCGGAATATATCCTCACCGGGTGCACTTCCTTTCGGGCTCCCCACTCACGAATTTCCCGGGGCCACAAACGATTGGATTCTTGGGTTTTCCAATGAGAACGGTGGGTTACATTCAAGCACGCCGACTTCAGTTGATTCTCACTCGATACAACAACAACATCAGCAACAACAAGACCAGCACCAACATTTGCACGTTCAAAACCAACTGCCCGATCACCAGGACCATGAACTCATTAACAGCCACCTGGGACGTCCATTTACATTGTCAAATGCAACATCTCTCCTATCGAACAACATGATGAAGAAGTGTACGAAAAGTAACACGCCAGGTCAACTATTGGGTAATATTGGATGTGAGATGAATCCGGATTATATCGAGACCGTTAATGTCACCGCTACCCCAAATCCCGCCGTAACAACCTCAAACACAATAACCACCATTTGCTCTTCAGTAAGCTCGAACAACAATGAGCATAACACGAGCACTACCCAAATTGTACCCACCTCCCTAATTCAACCAGGTGCCAGTGATTGCAAGCCCACCGACTGTGGACTGGACCCAACTGTGTTTTCCTTGCCCGGTTCAATTCTATCGATTGCGAATCGGGAAGACCAGGAAAAAGATAGTAGTCACATGTACTACTCCACCGCAAATCAAATGGAATTATCCAAACCGGAGCTAAGCTCATGTTCCATGAATAACGTGTGCTATAATCCACAGTTGTCTACCAGCCTGAGCGCTTGTGTTCAATCCAACGCATTCAGTTCGATTGCCACCCTGTCTGCTCCGTCCCCAAGCATCGAACCACGTCCTGGTTCAGAGGCCAGGGCACTCCTGAACGAGACAATTCACGGTGAGGATAAAGCCCTATCGGAGACTGGAAAACTTTATTCACCAAAATCGTCAAAGAATCTGGAGATCCCTTGTTCGATGGACAAAGAACCTTTAACGACCAGCCTGTCCTACTCGGCATGTTCAACCCATACGGAGAGAAAAACGATGGATGATACAGATATTCCTATCCCCCTAGCACGTGGTTGTGGTGGTGGTGGTGGTGAGTCCTATTTTGCACCGACCGATGTGATGAGTTATTCATGGGGTCAGCCATTTCGTACGGATGCGGAAAATGCAACACGCTCTGTCTCATGGGACAATCTATCCAACGGAATTGCCTATTATCGTATGATGAAACCAGATTGTTCAAATGGGCTAATCGGAGGGGATGCTATGGCTCGGGAGCCGGTGACATACTTAGGTCATAATGACGCGATTTCCAACGGCCGTAATTCTATGGGGGCATTCAATCCGCTTGATGTTGCCCCTAATCGTACAATTGTGCCACAAACCAGTCGTGACAATTCCCCCGGACTGTACGCATCAAATGAAATTGTCGAAGATTCTGTGCCGCACGGAGTGGTTCGCAATCCTTTCGATATAGGTGAAAGCCAAATGCAGCTGTACATGCACCCTCTTCCGTTGACCAATAAGAGCACCGGCGAAGAACAGGATCGCAGTTCGTTTCAGTTTGAATCCGTGCCGTATCTGATGTCAAACACAGATGATCGTCCACAATCAGCACAACAATACCATGCATCTTCATGTGTTCCTATCTATTCAAGCTTGTCAGGCCCCGGCATGGATTCTGATCCGCGCATCAAGTTGACGCTTTCCTCAGATAATCTGTTGACCAATACTACATTGGGTACAAACAATGTGACGTTGAGTGCTCTCACAGGGATTGACTCTAATCCGTATTTAACCCCATCTTCCAACAACCATGGACCAAATAACCTTTCACTGATGCAACTTTTACCGATGGGTGAGCATATACAACCTCCAGATGCCCACTGTTCAACCCTACACCTTGGCAATGATAGCACCGGTCACTCCCTTACAACTATTACCAATAGTACCAGCACCAGCACCACCGCTGGTAGTGGTGTATTTCCATCAATTTTGATCAATCCATTGGGAGAGTCAATCACTCCCCTAACGACTAGCAGTGCGTATCACACGACCAGTCCACCCATGCACGATTCCAATGTTTTTCGTGAAATGGATTGTGTTTCTCCGACCTCCGCTTATTTACAAACGGCGGCTGCCGCTGCTGCGGTTGCTGCAGCCGCAGCGGCAACTGCAGCTGCAGCCAGTGGTGGAACGACGGGCGGATCTGCACCTGGTTCTGAATGTCCTTCTGCTGACGATCTGGAATTGTTCGCCAAAATGTTCAAACAACGCCGAATCAAACTGGGCTATACACAAGCAGACGTGGGTCTGGCTCTCGGCACATTATACGGGAACGTTTTCAGTCAGACAACAATTTGTCGGTTTGAGGCGCTTCAACTCTCGTTCAAAAATATGTGCAAACTAAAACCATTATTACAGAAATGGTTACACGAAGCTGACTGTTCGACGGGGACGGCGAATAATTTGGACAAAATAGCGGCCCAAGGTCGAAAACGAAAGAAACGCACCAGTATAGAGGTCGGAGTAAAAGGTGTATTGGAAACACATTTCGCTAGGCAGCCCAAACCACTTGCACAAGATATCGTTCAACTTGCCGGGGCACTGGGTCTGGAAAAGGAAGTAGTACGTGTTTGGTTTTGTAATAGACGTCAAAAACAAAAACGACTCAACCCACACATGTGTGCTTCCATGACACCGACCGGGGACAGTACCCTAGATGACAGTATGAACAATGATCTGTCCGATGGAGATCAGGAAGTTGAAGAGGAGGACGAAGACGAGATTATTGGGGAAGGAGATATGGATGACCCGGAAGAATTTGATCCATTAAGCACACGAGAACCGCGCACCGAAAAAGTTCGATCGGAACTGGGAGATGGTCAGGAGCATCGAGGGGAAGTGGACGGAACCGAGGTGTCTTCGGGAAATAATACCGATTCTGCTGAAGCCAACATGACAGTGACTACCTCAGACTCGGCAACTACAAGCACAGAAAACTTCATGCTCAATTCCCATCAAGTGGAAAAATCCAATTGTCTCAGTGCGACTAGCATTGGCTCAACCGAACCAAATGGTGCTGACTCCATCGAGGTTAATCAACTGATTTCCACAAGCAATCCGAAGCGACCGTTAACAAAACGATTAAGACGAAGAGTGGGACAGAATCAACTATTCTCTGCTCCACTGAACAGTGGTCCCGAAGATACGACAAATGGTTATCTATCCTCGGATGGGAATGGATTTTCACCCTATTGTCCTCCCTTACTTCCATCACTTCGATCCACGTTCGGAATGCCCGGAGCTTCTTTACTCCCACCGCCACCACCACCACCACCACCACCACATAGTGGAACAACTTTTCACGGTCTTCCCATGGATTCAGGGGTAAACTGTTCTAACATTCATGAAAACCTCATGGCTACGCGATCAACTATGTTTGGTGAGGAGCAATCCGCAGCTGGTGAGAATGTTCCATCAGGCGGACCGAACGAAGATGGGTCCACGATGACTGCCAGAGGGCTATTCAATTTTCATCTGAAATCGTTCTACACCAGTGTAAATTATCCTATACTACAAAACGGATGTGTTCCTTATTCAGATTCAATGACTTCTCCTGACAGCTTGGAGCAGTTACGAAATGCACCTTCCCATATTCATCCACCAGTATATCAAAGCAGTTCACTATCGGTTCCAAATCTCCCGTTTAGTTATTTGCCAACCGGGTTTGGCGCTACAGTCACAAATGCGAATGGGCTCTCGGTTGGTCCCGACACTGTTCCCGTCTCATCACTGACATCCGTGTGTCCATCCTCGTCTCCCGCACCGACACCTTCGTTCTCCGGACTCAAGTTAACCACAAGCATATCGAATGAATTACCGCCCCGGTTCGTGCTACCCGGGCTGGGCGAATCGGCCACGGATATGACCACTTACTCGGATCAGCCAGACTACCGACAACAACAACAACAACAACAACAACAACAGCTGCAATCCTCGCTCGTGGTGAATGGATGTGCTGGAACACCTGGTACTTTCTTCTACGCGGTGGACCAGAATTGAATCAGGTCCCATTACTTGACACAAACAGTGAACAACCATACAAGGGACCACAATTTCAAGTCTTTCTGAACCATTTTATGTAAAGGTTTGTGAATGCATCTGAAAAATTTGTCTCCATGGCGTCATCTCAAACCTTTGCATACTCTCTTGCTCGCGAGCACGCGCGCTCTCTCTCTCGGTGTGCATACTTTGATCAAATGCAAGCAATTTTGCAGACGGAAAAGAGAAGAACAATGTGATTTTGTATCCAGTGGTTTTCCAAATCTGGCTCAGTTGTGTTGTGGAACAAACCCGATGCACGAAAACCATTCAAACGCACAACTAATGGAAGTGAACCTCAACAGGTGGACTAATTGAGACCATGCGGTAAGCCCGATCTCTGTCTCCTGCACGCATACATGCATACGTAACGGGACAGATTGACTTGTTTGTTGATATTTTTATATTGATTTCATGTGAATCTACATCCTCTGTTTCCCATCTGTAATCGGTTCCGAGAATGAGCCTGATCTGTTGATTTCCTTCTACTACTA